GCATAAAACAGAAAAAATATAAAAACAAAACAAAAACAAAAAAGAATATTAAGGTATAGGTATAAGAAAGGTATAGATATAAGAAGATCCAACATACATATAATAGGAGGCCCCAAAGACAGAAAATGGAAACAATGCAACACAATAGTAAAAAACTATAATTGATGAAAATATGAAACTACATTTGGGCCAATATAATAAAAAACACACTGTGTGTCTGGGAGAATTAACAGGGAATAGTCAACAGACATATTCTAGTAAAAGTATTAGCTCCAAAGATGAAGAAAAAGTCCTTGGGTATCTAGGCAAACAAATAAAATTAAAGAAAGAAAATCATATTGGTGCTCTCTTCCTCGGCACTGCCTACGGAGGTAGCAGAGATCTCCTCCTCGGCATCATGGCCGACCTCAGACCCCTTGTGAAACCCAAGATCGTCAAAAAGAGAACCAAGATGTTCATCCGGCACCAGTCAGACCGATATGTCAAAATTAAGCGTAACTGGCGGAAACCCAGAGGTACTGACAACAGGGTTCGTAGAAGGTTCAAGGGCCAGATCTTGATGCCTAACATTGGTTATGGGGGCAACAAGAAAACAAAGCACATGCTGCCCAGTGGCTTCCGGAAGTTCCTGGTCCACAACGTCAAGGAGCTGGAAGTGCTGCTGATGTGCAACAAATCTTACTGTGCTGATATTGCTCACAATGTTTCCCCCAAGAACCGCAAAGCCATTGTGGAAAGAGCTGCCCAGCTGGCCATCAGAGTCGCCAACCCCAATGCCAGGCTGTGCAGTGAAGAAAATGAGTAGACAGCTTATGTGCACATTTTGTGTTTAAATAAAACTGGCATCTTCCTTAAAAAAAAGAAAAAAAAAAAAGGAAGAAAGAAAATCATATTGGTATTAGAGTTTAATAATGACACATTTTATCAGAATAGAGTGAGACTTGGCAAACTAAGGCCCATTGACCAAATCCAGCCCACTGCCTGGTTCTGTAAATTAAGTCTTATTGGAACAGTCATGCTAGTTCATTTTCACATTATCTACAGCTGCTTTTGCAATGCAATGGCACAGTTAAGTAATTGTGAGGGAAAGCTATGACCCACAAAACCTAAGATAATTATTATTTGGTCTTTTACAGAAAAAGTTTGCCAACTCCTCCAAGAGAGTAACATTTTTAAAGATACTTGAGGGAAAAAAATGTGAGTCAAGTATTAAGTATGTTTATTCAGTCAAACTGACCTCGAAGTATAAAAGCCACAGATAAACTGTTAAATATGAAAGGCAAGGGATACATTTAACATAAGTCACTTATAAGAATTCAACAGCCACACACAGTGGCTCATGCCTGTAATCCCAGCACTTTGGGAGGCCGAGGTAGGCGGATCACAAGGTCAGAAGTTTGAGACCAGCCTGATCAACATGATGAAACCCCACCTCTACAAAAATCAGTCAGGCATGGTGGCAAGCACCTGTAATCCCAGCTACTCAGGAGGCTGAGGCAGGAGAATCACTTGAACCTGGGAGGCAGAGGCTGCAGGGAGCCGAAATCATGCCACTGCACTCCAACATGGGTGACAGAGCAGGACTGTGTCTCAAAAAAAGAGAGAGAAAATTCTTTTTTTTTTGGCTCCAAATTTTATTTTATTTATTTATTTATTTATTTATTT